CTAACTATGCTAACTAAATGCACTGCAAAACCCTACATTCACGCTCACGTGTCAGTTTGAGTAAATACAATAATCAAGAAGTCGCACGGGACACATTTAAAGTAGTCATTTTCATATATTTGTATATGTTCATATATTATACATTTAATACAGGCACAATAAGAAATCATAAAATAGAGACAAAAAGTGGCAGAAATATTGGTAAAAACATATGAGAATCATTTACACAATCTTGCTCTTTTTAAACTCTGTCTGATACAACAAATAAAGAAAAAGAGTGGAAAGTGACCATAAAAGGAGCTTTGGGGGGTACAATTTGAGTGTTGTAGGGACAGCAAGAACCAGCTTGCTGACACTGAATGCAGAATCTCCCTACTCTTTTTTTTTTTTAAACCAATGATACAACTAATTCAGAGGGAACACAGTGTGACACGCGATAGTACAATTCCAGGACTTTGTGTAAACTCATTTCAAATGCCTTCAAAATATTTGGCTTATTAAAGAGTCAGGTACAAAATGTATTTCTACAAACACTTAAATGAGTTTTCCTAATCTATTTAGGAAGTTAATCTTAAAGGCATTAAGAGTCAAAACTAAAAAAAAAAAAGATGATTACATGAATCACCCTGGCCAGATATGATGACTGAAATAAAATAATCCTTCTATTTCTACAAGTTTTCAAGCAAGACACTTAAATCAAGTATCATCATGAGCCTAAAACACCTGTAAACCAGTCAAAATCTACAATGAAGCCGGTTCCTTAGCACTGAGGACACAGTTGTATCTGAGAGGTCAGCTGGCCACGTGTTGCACAGTGTGTCAAACTCCTCTCATTAAAGGTTTCAACAATTTTCAATCACAGCTTTCAGGCAACTTATCATTCATTCCTCCAAACATATCACATTCCAACACATTAACCAATTTCAGGACCATGCCAAGGATGAAGTCGACAGGGGAGGGGAAAAAACAAGAAGAACAAAGGGCAAAATATTCAGTTAAGAAGTAAAACAGCCTCTACAGCACTATCCCTCCATTAGTAAAAGACAAGAATGAAGCACCGAGTGTCAGTTGTGGCCATTTCCCCACACATCCACGTGTTGTTCACAGCTACAAGACGCTGTACTTTTCCCCCAGCTTACTCTGGGTGAGAAGCAGGACAGGCCAGTGATGTGCGACAGAGGCAACGGCAGTGCTGTGTGACAGTATCACTAGATTACTTGGTATTAAGTAATCATGATAAGGCATTTCAATCATTAATTTGGCCTCAAGGTGCTACTTTTCACCAACATCGTCTGCTGTGTGGCGAGAGTAAGAGATCGGATGAGCTTCAAAGGCTAAAAATTGATAAAAGAGTACAATGATTAAACTCAGTCCAAATGATCATTCGTTTCTGGAAGACACGTTACAAAGCGGAGACGTTTTCCCTTCGATATCCAAATAAAAGAGTAAAAAAAACAAACAAAGACACAAATGGCACGTTGTTGGTGCTTTTCTCAATGGCTGTGCTGTAGCATACAAAAAGGAACAGATAAAAGTTAGATTCAGGCACATTTCAACATTAACACAGAAGTATGTTAAAAATAAATCACTGGCAGCTCTTACAAAAGCTGCCAACTTCAATTTAGAGAAATGTCCCTTGATTCTTTTCTATATCTATCTATATATATAGATAGATAGATAGATAAAACATATGACTTTTGACACAATGTTTTACAGTCAATTAAAAGGCTTAAAAAAACACAAGGCATGACTAAAAGGGGGGTTTACAAAGTAAAATGTTCAATTTTTTTTAAATAAGCACACTGACAGCGATAAGGGTATTGTTCAAAAGGACTCTGTGGCATTCAACCACAGAGAAATGCAGCTTCAAACCCCAAACACTAACAGAATTTTTTTGCCTGTTGTTCCACAGTATAAGAGGAGGCACTGAGGTCAGATCATTATTGGTTTTGCTTCTCTTTTTTTTGCATTTTCCGAAAGCAAAATATTTTATAAAGATTAAGCCTGTGCTGCAAGTCTGCGAGTTCAGATTTTACCTTCATTGCACCAGTTAAAAAAAAAAAAAAGTGAAAGTGAAGAAGCTGATTTGTGAGCCGAGTCAAAGGTGGTCGAGCAGAAGAATTATTATTTACAGTTTGGACAGAGAAAGAGAGAAATTGTTTTCTTTTATATTCCTTACAGGTTCTTGGAAATTATATATAAGAGCAAAAAGAGCATCTGAAAGGTTGTTAGTGCACTTTTTTTCTGTTTTTTATGATTTCAAATACAACATAGAGCCATAAACTGTTTCTGACTATACAAAAAAGGATTTGATCGGAAAGCATTATTAGACTTATCTACACATTTCCTGAAATCTCATCTTAGTTTTCTTTTCTTTTTAACAGTGTTCAATACTCAGTGCTGTTTAGTTTTGTAGTGAGAGTCTCGCTTCCTGGGTGTGACAGGAGGTGATCCAGAGGTTCAGGGGGCCTTTGCGAGTGAGTCGGCAGGTTTTGCTCTTGGGTTTCTTGGCGACCGCGATGATGGGTGACCTCAGCAATCTGCCATATAACGCCCTGTAGACAAAAGATGTGAAATTTGAGTCTTTAAATAGTGCCACCTAGTACATGTAGACCATCAAGCTTTTTACACACCTGTGGCAAATCTCTTCTTGCTGAGGGAAAGTCTGTATCCGGCCCCCTGCAGCTCCATGTCCACTCCTGACAGGGTGCTCCCCTCATTCATAAACTGCACTGCCAGAGTGGAGGGGTGCGATGGGCCATTTGACAGTTCAAACTTGGCCCTCAGGGACCCGGCACCTAGGATCAAACACAAAGGAGTAGGCTCACTTACAAGGGACCGATCCAGTTCTAGTGCTTGCTGCAGGATTTTGCACAAACTTTGATGCAAAACATTTATAAACTCAAAAAAAGATTTCTTACCATCGTTTTCAGACTTTTCTGAGATGTCAGTCAGCCTCCACAGACACTTACTCTGCTCTGAATTCCTAAAAATGGAATAAGGAAATGACACCCTATAACATCACGCTTTAATGATTGTAGCGTATGTATGTATATTTGTGTGTGTCTTTCTCCTCCTAGATAAGCAGACCAATCTTGATGAAACTTTGCATAAACACTGCCTGGAGCATTGAAAGTGCCATCATCTATATGGTATATACAAATATTTTATACAAATCAAACTATTGTGTATATTTGTACATTGTTTGTTTGTCGACTTTTAGTGTGTGCATGCTACCTTGATTTAGTTTGTGGATGGTTTACGTTTCTTCCACATCGTATTTTCACAGACAATGCAAATTTTTAATCTTCTAATCATCTATATTGATGATTTATCGTTAATTTTACAATAATATTTACATTATTTTGATATATTTTTCATATTACATATTTATATTCTGACAAAATATCCCATCTGACAATCCATGTAAGACTTCTGTGCCATTTCATGACAAAAGTGCCACAATGGTGGCAGTATCATAGCAACAACAGGAGGGGGTGCAAGTCAATCAATACTGCTGGCCCATAACAATTACATGTTGCTCTCCTGCTAACGGTGCCAAGAGGCACTACGTCTCACCATATGGAGTTAGGCAGAGACTGCATGTTGGTGACTCCTCCATCAACAGGCACTAAGATCTGTACGTTGGTGAGTGGACTGGGTGAGTCCATGGACTCTGGGTTGTAGCGGTAGTCTATCCGCAGGTCCGTTGTACTTGCTGTACATTTCCAGTATACGGCCAGGTTTAGCGGGGTGGAATGGATCCCATCAGACATCACCTGGACACATCAATTAAGTATATGTATCAATTTTTTTCACAATATTACATCTCTGTGTGTTATCCATTTGTTGGACTGCTATGATGCTAGTTTTTAAGGAAGTGTTTTTAAAAATGCTCTAAGTATCAGTATGCAATGTTTTATGACCACAGTAACCCACACCAGGGTGACCACCACCGACAGGTTCAGTGGATTAACACTGATCGTGTCGTGATGATGCAATGCTTTGCTGAGAAATGTTGGATTCTGAAGTCTTTTTCTTCTCTTTCAGAAAGAAAAGTCTTAGCCTGAAA